CCCCAAAACCCCAAAACCCCACTACGAATAAATATTATTGACTGAGTTGACAAAGGGGATTTAGAGTATTAATAATAATTTTGAAATAAAATGAGTTAACAGGTTATGAATGCCTCAAAGGATTAAAAGCAGCTTTAGTCGCACCTTCATGATTAGGAGACTGCAAAAAGGATGCTAAAGGTGCAGTCACTAAAAGATTTCCAATTACCCTCAATTTCGAAATAGCAGTCAAGCATGATCGAGTCAAGTAAGGTCATTGGAGGGGTGTCCACAGGAGGAGCTTAAAATATGGGATATAAGTAAAATAGCTAGAGGATAGACAACAGTCTGGCTCATCATTAGTCAGTTCTCAACCCCTTATATACATCGAGACTTGACTTGAAGCTTCAGTGTAACTTGAAACATTTATTAAACTGTATAGTACCATTTGACATGTCGCACATGAATATAAGTTATAACAACATGACTCAGAGAGATAACGTTAGGGTTACAAAGCAAGTTGTCAAACTAAAGAAGAAGGATGAGTACCGAGGAGAATTCCTTAAAAACTTAGTAACCGCTAAAGGAGGCGAAATCATTAAAAACCTGAGAATGAATTCACTTGGAGCAGGAACTTAAAGATCAATTATTGTAAGTAATCCAGTAATGTGAATTTAGAATATCTTATTAGGATGACAAATTGAAAACTGATGACCGTCTATCCCAAATTCTTTATAAGAAAAACTATGCTGACATTAAGATAGATAAGAACAATATTTCCTCAATCAAACCCTTTTTGTTCAACCCTAAAAAGGATGCCTAGACAGGTGTTGACTACAATAATGACTCAGATCACAATGCTAATGACCACAATAACAGTAGTTCTAATTTCCACTCTAATCCTCATCTGAACCTGTCCAAGCCATTGAAACTTGATCTCTCACATAACAAATCAATGATTAAAGACGACAATGTCTACCAGAGTTACAAGTCCAATCTTGAGAAGAAAGGCTACTTTATGACACAGCCATACGAGTCTAGCAAAAATAAATACAGCAACTCTCCTTCTAGAAATCCGGAAAGAGAAGGAGGCGAGTATTGCTAGCATTGCCAGCACTGCAAAGCTAAGGATGTCCTTGAACCCAATGACTATTTGTTTATTGAGAAGTACAATTTTGGAGAACTTGTTAATAAAAACTTGAAGGTAAAATTGATAAGTTTAACTGATATAGAAATAAAATCATAATGCTAGTCAAAGTGGGTTGATATCAGATTCGAACGCCTTACTAAAAGAGAGGATGGCAATTGACAAAGCTCTGAATGAACTCATTCAGAATAAAAGATCTCTCAAAGAAATCATAAGTGAGGAGACTATAAATCAGTTGGTAGAGACGAAGTTGTATAAAGGGATTACAGAGATGCACAACTAGGACTTGATCAAAATGATGACATCAATAGATCATGACGACCTGAATGTGCGCTACGTCAGCGAGATCACAGACTCAAATCAAATAACTAATTAAATCTCGCACTTTGAATATCTTCAGCTAATCAATGAAAATTTCAAGGACACTCTGGCCAACTACTTAATGCAGCAGAAGGAATCTGATGAGACCTTTGAGTATTAGATTAGCAAGCAGTCCACTTTAGAAAAGTTAATGGATCGCAAATTGATATTACACTAAAGAGCCTAATCTAGCGACTATAATAACGGCAATAAGATTCTTCTGCCTGATCTTTAACTCAATGTTCACGAATAGCTGAGGTATAAATCAATGGCAATATACATAGGAATCTAAGAGGTCATAAGACAGCTGATTGATGCAGCCAGTTCTAGTAGTCTAACAACTGGCTCTGACTATGGCAAAGATCGTGGTCTCTTCTTAATCAGATTAATCAAAGAATACTTTAAGGAAAATGAGCGGAAGTGGTATCAAATCATTAAGAAGATAGGCACGTTCAACAAGGTCTTGAAGTAAGATAGAGAACTGTTGATGTGCAAGTACAACATTGATGTGAAGATGGAAATACCTAAAGTGATTGATAACATGTCTGACACTATCGAGAACTTAGTCAACCACAAACGCATCATCAAGACTATAATTGGGAAACTGAACTAGGAGGAAGACTAAAGACTGAAACTAAACAAAGAACTAAAGACGCTAAGGAAACAAATTGATACTCTAGTGTTTGATGCTAATGAGCTTTTGAACAATCAAGAGCTAATGGATAGGTTAAAGAGTATCAAGACAAGTGAGATCTACGACTTCTATGCCAAATAAGCCAAGGTTAGCATTAGCATATATATTAATGTATGACTAGGATGAGGATAAAAAGGCTATAGACATAGCATTAATGGTGAACTCTGATAGATTTGCAAAGGCAGCAAAGGAATTGAGGAGCTAGACTCAGATAAGCTTTGAACATATGACTAAATAGCACGATATCGTGAAAGAAGAAAGGAATAAATTTAAAAGAGAGTCCAAGTATTATGAGAAGCAGTACTATGACGCCATGGAAAAAATTAGAGAAAAGGAAAAGGAAATGAAAAACCTACAGAATTTCCTCAAAAGTGGAAACTAAGATGCTGTAATCCATTTATAAATTATTATGAGATTGTATAGAAATTCTGGAAAGATTATTTTAAAGATGAGGAAAGCATCGAAATCGAGCCAATCAAGATAGAAATTGGAAGACTTGATAGTGCTCAGGACAAGAACTCTGCTAATAATGAGGTGATAGACAAAGATGGAAAGAAAAAGTAACTATTTCCCTCTAGACAGGCTGAGGAGAGATATCAAATGATGTAGCTTATTTACAATGCTAGAAGTCAAAGATAGTATTTCCATAGAATGTTGTTTAAATCTATTTCTTAGAAACTATGAGCCAGTCTCTAAAGAATAAGTATTAGAATTCATAGTTCATATATACTCTAAGAAAGCTCAAGAAATGGGAATGAGACCCTAGAACAAAGACTTGACTGAGCTTGAATTTGAAGAGAGCATTTACCAATTCTTTAAGTAAAGATATCAAGGAGATGTTAAGACCCAGCAACAGTGTCTCGAGTTTCTTCTGGGACTGAAATTCTATGCCAGTAAATAGCTTGTCAATTTTACATGTAATAGATAAGGATGAAAGAGTTGAGACATTCATGAGTTTCCTACCCACTTTAGATAGCCAAGCTAACTAAAACAATGAACTGAGACTTGAACTAATTCACTCAAGTTCCTCTTATGGTCCCAGTATTGATGAACATAGAAAGTACTCAAAGGATGTCCTAGATTTGTATGTGAAATTGATGAAGTGCACTGATTGCAGCATAAACTAGATATTGCAGCAATCCACTGAATAATCAGTTGTAAGCTATGCAGCCAAATACTATTTCGAGAGAACTGAAAGAAATGTCATCTTCAATGCCTCTGTCTAGATTAAGACTTAACTACTCAGGAATTTAGTCTATGAGAGTGATGTTTACATTGATAGTAAAAGAGTTACATCAACAAAAGATCTGAACATCCAGGTCAGATTTGAACTTTATATTCTCATGGAGTTTTATAAATCTACTGAAGCTGTAGATATTCAGCACTTTGCTCAAATACTGGAGAAAAAGTGCAAAACAACTAATGAATATGGATTGGCTTAATATGAGGAATTCCAAAAGGTATTCTTTTAGTATCTTGGCTACTGGGATTAGCTCGTTGCCTTCCAGTTCTTTACCTTTGATGATTTGATTTCAAAGTATTTCCCCAAGAGTATTAAGAATGTTGATGGGCAAAGACTTGTCGGGTTTAAGGGCATGAGAACTTTCTATAGGTAGAAATATGAATTAAAGGTAATTATACGTATATCTTAATTCACCAATACAGCTTGATACCATGAAATTCCTCAATGTAGCAATGAAGATTACAATTATGTTCTATCAAGAGGCAAAGTTCTTTTACAACAGAATCTTCAACTAAGTAGATGCAGAGGGCAGAGGACTCATTGAGTTCCATTAGTTCTAGCAACTCATCAAGAAGATTAAGCCAGACTTGCCACATTGGAAAATCTTTGCTATATTCCAGTAAACACTCCATAAACTTTAAATTTTTTTCACAGATCAACTTCAAACTAGGATAAAGTAGATGTAGGGAAAGTCAGTTTCCCTCAATTCCTTCGCAGCTGCTTGAATCATAACTTAATGGAAGGCCTCATGAATATTGACTTCTCTTCTATTAAGGAACAGCATGAAAGCTAGGAAAAAGAAGGAAGTGGCTAAGGCAGTAGAAGATCACCAAACATTAAGGACATAAAGAGAAATAGACAGCTTAGTCATAGTCCTAACTTTAGAGCGAAGTAATTCTCCTAAGGTATCGGTGGAGGAAGAGGCAATGAAAAGATCAAACTAATCTAATTCTGATGGCAGTAATCTTGAATTACTCAGAAAAATGAATTGAGATAAAAACTCAAATTCTATGATTATTATTAAGATAATCTTGATTTCATAAATTACAGATACTAATTTAATATGCTGAAAGGGGTTTTGGGGTTTTGGGG